CTTACAGTCATTCCTGGATGGGCAGTTCCCTTAGGCTGGTTATCCTTGACTTTGGAAGGGCAGCCAGGGCCACTGCTGATAAAGGCAGAATTTTAATGCAACTTATGCATGCAAGTTAAGTCCAAATTTTCTGCAAGGTCTAAGTCAGCCAGAAAAAACCTTTGAGATAAGTCTGGTCACCTCCATAGCTGATGCTAGGGAACTTCCTTATACTCCTACCTCGATAGATGTTTTTGATGAAGAACAGTATTTTCCACTTTCATGCTCATCTCTTGATGATTAAACTAATGCCATGCTAGGCTGACGAATGCTTCCAGTTCTAGGAGTTCATTCACATTTCCCCAAAAGGAGGTGAGAAACAATGAACCAGAACGCATTAAAACATTCCATTTTGGTTTAGAAATCCCCAGTAGCAGAAGCAAGGTATTCCAACAGTTAATTAACCTCACTCAAAAATTTGCAGCTTGTTTCCAGCCAAAGTTTTTCTACTGTACCTTCTGGCTACTGCAGCTCATTATTCCACTCCTGGCTAGACTAAAAAGCCCTCTATTATTACACTTCTGCTGCTCCTGTCAGCAGAGACAAACATCTACAACTTCCACTTTGATAAACGCATTTTCCATTACACAGTGTGTTTTCCAGTCCCTTCACCGTTTTCATGGCTCTTCTATAAACCCTCTCCAATTTTCAGCATACGATCTGCTACCATTTTATCAATGCAAGTTTGTTGCTGGGAAAAGCCTTCCCTTTATTTCAGCTACTCATTCATGTTCTCTCCCTTTCTGCCAATTTTAGAGTGCATGTGATGACCCTGAAAAACAAATTTCATTAGATGAAAGCTAACATGGTGTAAAAGAGAGAGGAAAAAAAAAAAACTCTAACAATGCTCCCTCCCTTCCCCCAGTAGGAATTTGCATAGACAAGTATCACATAGACCCCATAGTGGATAACTGTAAGGAAAAAAGTAAACAGGGTCCAGAACATAAAACGTCCTCTGTATGTCTCTAGAGGAAATTTCATGGCAAATATTGTCAGCCAAGCTCCAGATCATTAATGAAAAAGCAATAAACTAATAAATTTTTAACATCTCACTGTATTCGAGAGCTTATAAGACTCCATGTACTTTTCATGCTCCAAAAATAGGAATCTGCAGGAGTTTATCCATGCCAACCTAATGCTGAAGGAGAGCTGGGAAGGCCACTGTATGCCTAATGACGCCTCCAATGTGATTTAAAGGAGAACAGGAAAACAAAACAGATGAACGGACTACACCCTTCTTATGAAATAGAGTGGAGGGAGAGAAGAGAGATGAGATTAAGAATATTTTCCTGTTCTTGGAATTCAAGCACCAGTTGAAACTCTAGGTGCCTGGCCAGACAAATCATATTCAAAGCTTGAAAAAGTTCAGCTCTCCAGGATTAAGCAGGGTTGATTCAGAAAAAGAAAAGTTAAAGATACTTAGCTGGACTTACAGTAGCAAGAGAAGAAACAAACAAGTAAACAACAAAATTCCAAAGGGAAAATCTGAAGTACTCTTATGAGGTTCAGCAATTTCTAACATTTCCACTATTAGTTTTAACTATTCTGGCTGCAGCCCGGTAACAACAGTCTCCTTTCTTTTTCCTCCTTGTCATCTCACTGCCAAGGTTCCTCTTTTCCCAGCCTTTCCTTGCTTCCCATTACTACCTCTCTTCACACAGGTTCAACCTGACCAACCCACATCCACACACAGACTAGGTGGTCTTCCATCTCCAACCGCTCCACCCTCACTCATCATTTGGGCACATTTAGGAACAGTGTTTGCACTTACGCAGGAACTTCACTGATCAGCTTTCCTGAGGGCTGAATTCTGCCAGCCACCCATCGTCCTAAATACCAAGGGGTAGTAGAGCCCCAGATGAAAATCTTCCAGCAGTGCTGCCTTAAGGAACACCCAAAAACCTACACGAACCGTTCAATTTTCAGCAATGTTAAACAGCCCAATTCTAAATGAAGGCAGGTGCCATGGGAATTTAAATGCCTTAGAAACCTGGCCACCGATACATACGTATAAACATGGACCTTAATGCTTTACATTAAGCAAAAATACTAGCTGCTAGTTGGCTCATTCCCTGCAAAGCAATCTCTTGATTTTATATTGCTTTAAGATCTGGCCATGAAGAAAGCCTTACAAACTCACCACATGCAATCAGCTCAGCAACCAGCCATAATTTACGGCATATGTACTTCCCCCACAAGTTTGGAAGTAGTAGCCCAGCACCAAAAAGACTTTCACCACCAGCAAAGAGACCTCAGATAAAGCCCACCATACTAGCCGTCCACTGTCATATATCAGAGACTTTGACACAGTGACCT